CTCGCTTGACACATCCCCAGGAAAACGATATGTTGTAGATCGGGCGTTGCTAGAAGACTTGTCTTACGACCCGAATTCTCAAAATGAAGCTTTCGCCTTGGACATCCTCAGAAACGTGAAAATGTTGGAGATCGGGCGTCCGACATCCAACACAGCGTGGGAGGGCGTTTCGCCTGAGACATCCTCACAAAATGGCGATGTTGGACAAGTTGTTGTAGGACGCTTTGTTCTGAAAAAAAGAAGCGCTCGCCTTAGACATCATCAGGAAATGAAAAGGATATCCAACATGGTGTGGAGGAGCGTTTCGCCTGAGACGCCATCGCACCATTGGGGTGCTGGCGGAGTTGTGTTACGACGTTGGTCCTCAGAAACACTTACCCGTTCGCTTAAGATGTATTTAGGAAGTTGAGATGTTGAACGTGGGCATTGGATATCAAACTCGGTGTGGCTGGACGTTTCGCTGCGGACATCCTCAGAAACATGTTCAGTAAGCTCCCGAACTCGACGCGCCTTCAAGAGCTGGGCTCTCGTCCGAGACATCCTCAGTGAGGATGTCTCGGACAAGAGCCCATGTGTGAGGATTCCTCACAAATGGAAGCGTCACCAGAGAAGTCTGACAGCAGATTACTTGACATGAACTCCTTACTAGGTTCGTGGGCCCCTCAAACTTTCAGCATCTTGACGCACATGCCTCGCAGTGCGGTGCCCGCCTACTGTGAGCCATGACGCGGGGCAATGGGGAGGCCAGGCGCCCTCCGCACATGTCAATCGCACATGCCAGACACTCTCACCAAGAAGCTTGTCGCGGGGGGGCGCAACCAGGGGCCCTCCAGAAGGGCCCCCGTGGGCCATGGGGTTCACCGAACGATTTCGGGCCAAAACCCTCCCCGGCACCTCCCCGGCACCGGCGTCAGGGTTGCCCCTCACGGCACCCCGGGCGACCCCGGCACCCGGGAGCCACCCTGGGCGACCCCGGCACCCAGGTTTCCCCTGGCACCCTCCCCCTTGGGAGCGCTGGTTCTCAAACTGCTCCTGCCCTCGCCATTCCTCCCTGTCCCGTGCCCTTCCTCCTTCTCCTCCTCCTCCTCCTGCGCCCCTCCCTCCTCCACTTCCCCCTTCCTCCTCTCCCTCTGACGCCTCCCCCCGCCATCCCATTGTGCAAAAATATCCTGGCGAGATGATATATTGTGAATGCCGTCGTTGTGAGCATCGCCCTCGGTAAGCTCCCTGTGGAGCCACGAGCCGTGTGAGCGGTGTGCCGTAATGGAGGCGGCGGTGCCATGCGGACCCTGCCACTGGGGCTTTCGGCGGAGCTCCCTAGCCACGAACCGTGCGAGCGCTGTGCCGACATGGAGGCGGCGGTGCCATGCGAACCCTGCCCTGCCACTGGGGCCTTCGGCGGAGCTCCCTATGGGGCCACGAACCGTGTGACGAGTATGCCGACATGGAGGCGGCGGTGCCATTCGAACCTGGTCACTGGGGCCTTCGGCGGAGCTCCCTGTGTGGCCACGAACTGTGAGCGGTGTGCCGAGATGGAGGCGGCGGTGTCATGCGAACCCTGCCACCAGGGCCATCGGCGGAGCTCCCTATGGAGCCACGAACCGCGTGACCGGTGTGCCGACATGGAGGCGGCGGTGCCATACGAACCCTGCCACCAGGGCCATCGGCGGAACGCCCTGTGGGGTCACGAACCGTGTGAGTGGTGTGCCAAAATGGGAGCGGCGGTGCCTTGCGAACCCTGCCACTGGGGCCTTCGGCGGAGCTCCCTACGGGGCCACGAAATTTGTGAGGTGTGCCGACATGGAGGCGGCGGTGCAATGCGAACCTTGCCACTGGGGCCTTCGGCGGAGCTCCCTATGGGGCCACGAACCGTGTGACGGGTGTGCCGACATGGAGGCGGCGGTGCCATGCGAACCCTGCCCTGCCACTGGGGCCTTCGGCGGAGCTCCCTATGGGGCTACGAGCCGTGTGACGGGTGTGCCGAGGTGGAGGCGGCGGTGCCATGCGGACCCTGCCACTGGGGCCTTCGGCGGCGCTCCCGATGGGGCCACGAGCCGTGTGAGCGGTGTGCCAACATGGAGGCGGCGGTGCCATGCGAACCCTGCCACTGGGGCCATCGGCGGAGCTCCTTCTGGGGCCACGAACCGTGTGACGGGTGTGCCGACATGGAAGCGGCGGTGCCATGCGAACCCTGCCACTGGGGTCTTCGGCGGAGCTCCTTCTGGGGCCACGAACCGTGTGAGCGGTGTGCCGAAATGGAGGCGGCGGTGCCATGCGAACCCTGCCATCGAGGCCATCGGGGAAGCTCCCTATGGTCCCTATGGGGCCACGAACCGTGTCAGGGGTGTGCCGAAATTTAGGCGGCGGTGCTATGTGAACCCTGCCACTGGGGCTTTCGGCGGAGCTCCCTATGGGCCCGCGAAACATTTGAGGGGTGTGCCGAAATAAGCATGCGGAAGCAGCGGCCACTTCAGGTCACGGCATCTCCGAGCCGAGAGATCCGACGACGTGTCAAGCGAAATGGGCTGGACCACCTCTCGTGTAGCGTCTGGGAGCCCAGAATTGCGAGGATGTCTCAGGAGGAGCGGGCCGGACTATCGCAGATCCGGTCTCCTCAAAACGCAAACTTGTGACGATCTATCATGCGAAACGGGCTGGACCACCTCAGCATTTGGATCATATCTCGACGCGCGGGCCTCTCGGGCGGCACTCGTTCTTACCATACCAACGCCCCCCGGCACCGGCTGGGCGACCCGGGGACGCTCCACAACAAATCCTTTATGCCACCAACAAACGAGAACCTCCCATATGTGTGTGTGTTGCTGCGTGGCTCGGGCTCCGTAGTTCGGCCGGACCGACTCACCGACCATGGAAAGCATGGCAACGAAGACCGACAGCAGCTCCTGTCCGTCAGAAGCAGGGCCATTGTCTGTTTTGCGCGCAAGGCGGCCTGCGCAACAGCGCGTCTCGGAGACGTCGTGGTCCCTAGATTGTCCACGAGGGCGGAACAGCGGCTGCAGGTGACCCCAGCATGGCCATGAGAAGATCCCAATACGGCGCAAAAGCGTCTCTGTACAATCTGCAAAGGGCTCGAGAGCGCCCCAAGACAGTCCATTGGGGGCCGCAGAGAGCCCGAGATCACCCACCGGCCCAAGAGCTCCCTGAAGATGTGTAGCACATCCTGGGCCGAGAATCGTAGCGCCCCCCCAAGAGAACAACGGCATAAACATTCAATGATCCCGGCGCGACCCATATGAAAAGTTCCAAGTTCTCAAGGCATATACCCGCAATGTATCACAATGAGGCGAAGCGCAATGCAAAGCATAGCAGCGCCTAGCATATCACGGCGTAACAGCATGGTGCGTCCGACGAGGCGGAGCATACCACATGAGTAACGTACGCAGCGTTGCATAATTAGCACGGAGTTGCGTAACACAGCGCAGCACGGTTTAATACGGCACTGCGCAACATTGCAGATACTCGCACATGATACCGTAACACAGCATACTAACGCATGGCCATCCATGTAATACTTCTCCACAAACATCAGAATGCATCGCACACCGACATAAGACGGTGCAACATGGCACGCTTGTGGGGACAACGCCCTCACGTGGAACAGGCGTGAACAAGACACCAAACAGCACCTCTTATGCAAAGCAAGTCGACCGACGCATGAAGAAACCTCGGTTGGGGAAGATTGCCCCACTGAGAGCATTTACGGTGCCAATCGGAACTGCACGGCGTCGTGCCTTCATTGAGATGCGACATGATAGAATGTGGTGCGAACGCATCAGAGCGAATCCATCCCGCGATGGTTTCGGACTCTAGTCCCACCGCCACCCGAAGCACAACGCGAACGCTCCAAAGCAATATTGACCCGCGAAGAGTCTCCAGGTCACCTAAGCTCGCGAATCGCGGCCCACGATGACGATTCGCGATCCGCGGTCATCTTCGCGCCCTCACGAGGCCACCCTGGAGAGGGGCATCTCTCATGAAGAGGCCGCGATGCGCGATGTACGATTCTCTTCGCGCACCTGGGGGCGAACTACACATGTTCAGCCGTTCGAACTCCCACCCCGCCTCATCAAATATCGAAACATCCTACCGATGAAAAGGGATTATGAGGACAACGCAAAGCTCTAGAACAAGTTACTCGCGAAGAAAACTTCAGCCCTTTCCAATCCCGAGGCCAAGCTATGCTTCAGCGCTATGCACGGCAAGCTGCACGCGTGGCTCAGCCTGCCCTTCGCCAGCCGCCCCTGCGCGACTCGTTTTATCGATGTGGGGCTGAGGGCCTGGCTTGTGGCACTTCTGGGGGAACCAACAGCTGCATGAGCATAAACTACCGGAGGTCCGCTCCGATTTCTTGGATCTGCGCTGACGCCGTCCCCTGGCGCGCCAGGAGCTGCGTCGGGGGGCGCCGCCGGGGCGTTCCAACGCAGATCCAAACAAATCGCGCGGACTTTCGACAGTTTATGCTTAAAGTCGAGGCTGATTGGAGAGGACACGCAAGAGGACACAAGACCCCTTCCGAGAGCCACCCGGCCATCAAAATGCGGAAGGCATGGCCCAACCACGCGCGCGAATACGGCCCCCCAGTCCGCTGTTGTCGGTTTCGTGTTTGCTTTCGTTCGCAGATCCAAGATCCTCGAGTGCATTCTCGTTGTTATATTCTTCGAGGTTCGAACGCCATCGGTCGGCGGCGAGCCCGAGGGGGGAAGCGAGAAGGAGAAGGCCTTCTCAGAGAAGGCTCGGAAGTCCCCTGGCCATCTTAGGTTTCCAAGCCTTGCCCGAAAACGCGGAAACCTGTCAGAAGGCCAGAGGGCTTCTGAGAGGCCCTGCTGCCTCATGAGAAGACCTTTTCCTTTCCACTCCCCCCCCCGCACACCGCCGAATATCGGCCAGAATCGGCGCCTGGACCCCTCTGGGGGCCCATCTGACGAGGTTTTTCACCCCAGGTCGATGTTCGAGGGTCTTGGGGCCCGAGAGCAGACGACTTTCTCAGTGCGCCCCCTTGTTCCCCCCCCCCTCGGTCGCCGCCGCACCAAGGCCGCAGCGGCACCCGCCGCTGCGCGAGGCCCGCGAGGCAGCGCGCCGGTGCGCGCGAGCCGCGGGGCCCTTCCCTGCGGGGACGCGCTCTCCCGGACGAGCGACTGTCGCTGCGACTGGCAGGCGGGCACGCTGGTCGACGTCGCCGACCGTGCTCTGGCGAGGAGGAGCAGGGGGAGCAGGGAGGAGGGAGGAGGCCTCGAGGTCGACGCTCGCAGTGTCTGGGCCAGCAAATGCCTCTTGACGGCCGGGGCATTCTGTTGGTCGGTTTGTTTGTTGGCTGCTCGCATGATGCGACTACTCCTTCGGGTGGGAGAAGAATCCAATGCGCGTAGAAATGCTGGAAAGGGCGCCCGTCTGGTGCGGGTCGTGCCCCCGAGGCGCTCTTGCTGAAACACTGGCCTGCGGAAGCGCGCCAAATGATGACATCGGCGTCTGTAGAAGTGTCCACGCCCCCTCGCTGCCAGGACATTACCTTTCCTAGCAAAGGCCGGCGCAGTCCACGCCTCGGCGCTTCTTGGGCGCCGATGCCGAGCGCGTCGAAAAAAACAAAAATGGCCCACAGTGGCCCTCACAACTCCCCGTGCTGCCTCAGCTCCAGGGCAGGCGCCTGAAGCAGCGCGACGCCCAGAAACGCGTGGTGGCGCTTGGTCTTCGTCAGCCCGGACTCTGCCAGGGACGCGCCACCGCACCAGGTGCCCTGGAAGTGCGCGCAGATGTCCTCCAGCACCCTGTAGCACTGCCCCGTCGGCCAGACGCAAGCTGCACCGGGATGCATCGCAGCGCACTCGGTGCAAGCAGTGCTCACGGGGGGCGCCGGGGATGGCGCTGGCGATGGCAACGGCGATGTCGCTGGCGTCGAAGATGGCGCCGGCGAGGGCATCGGCGACGCCGTGGGGGACGGCGCCGGCGGCGCGGCGGTCGTCTGCGCGCCGCTCGTCGACGTCGTCGTCGGGCCCGCCGTCGACGACGACAGAGTCGGCGGCTGCGTGCTGCCGGTCGTCATGGGAGTGATTGACGATGTCGCCGGCGCCGGCAGCGTCGGCCTGGGCGCCGAAGTCGTGGACGGAGCCTGCGTCGGCGGCGCGGTGGGGCGCGAAGTCGGCGCGGCCGTCGGCGCCTGGCCAGGGCGGCTGCCGCTCACTGTGCAGTGGGGGGACGGGCAGTCGCTGGCCTGGTGGCCCGGGCACCAGGTGGTGAACCTGGGGTTGTTGCACCAGGCGCTGCGCGAGCAGTCGGTCTGGTGCACGCAGCCGGCGCCAGGAGCGAGCGTGGGCGCAGGCGTGGGCGGCAGCGTGGGGGCCGGCGGCGGCGTGGGCGCGAAGGTGCCGCTGCCGTCCACGACGCGTACGTCAGCGCAGTTCTTGAACTGCTCGCCGCACTCCCTGGGAGGCGCCTGCACGGCGGGGCAGTTGGCAGAGGCGCTGGCGCCTCCCCACCACGCGACGGCGTTCCAGCCGCTCCTGGCCATCTCCCTGAAGTAGCAGGCGTAGGCGTCGCGGTGCGGCGTGCAGCTGTTGGCGCTCATCCACCACCACTGCAGCGTGCAGCTCTGGCAGGTGAGGTTGCTGGGGATCCAGTAGTGGAACCTGTACTCGGACTGGCCAGGAGGAGGCAGGTACCAGTAGCCCGGGTTGGCCTCGTCGTATGGCTGGCAGTCGCCGCGACTGTCGTTCGGGCCACAATCCGAGTGCACCTCCTCCGGCCTTGCGCGCTTCAGGACGTGCTCGTTGAGACACCTCTCCTCCGCCTGGAGCCCGCCAGAAGTGCCTTCGAGATGCCTGTCGCAAAGTCTGAAGACGAAGTGCCCCTTGTGGTGCGCCGTCATGCGGATCGCGAACTCGGCCAACTCCCCGGCGCGCAGCTCTGTCACGGGACCGGCCACGTCCAGAAACTTGCTCTGGCCGCAGGTGGGCAGGGGCAGGCTGGAGGAGCCGAGGCACTGCGGGCAGTACCCGTTCAGCGGCTGGTTGAACGCGCCTCCGCGCATCGCGGGCTGCGTGATGTACGCGTGCCCGTTCGCCAGCGACAGCAGCGATCCCAGGAACAGGGCAGCGGCAAGCGGCGCTGGCGCCATCACTCCGCTGCAGGGCGGGCTTCCAGCAGCCGACGGGCGCGAGGCGGCGAGACTGCAAGCTGGCTTGAGCCCAAATGACTACGGACCTCTCCACAATAGGGACATAGGACCAGTCTGCCCGCGAAAGCAGCGCACTTCCCCCCGTGGAGGGTGCGACGCTCGTTACAAATCAATGTTGCTGCGTGGCTCAGGCTCCGTAGGTCGACCGGACCAACCGACCGACCATGGAAAGCATGGCAGCGAAAACCGTCAGCAGCTCCTGCCCGTCTGGAGCAGGGCTCACTATCGGCGTCGCCGCGGCCGTTGTCTGTTTTGCGCGCAAGGCGGCCTGCGCAACAGCGCGTCTCGGAGACCTCATGGGCCCTAGATTGTCCACGAGGGCAGAACAACGGCCCCAAATTCCCCCAACCAACATGGCCATGAGAAGACCCCAATACGGCCTCAAAAGCGTCTTTGGATGATCCGCAAAGGGCCCGAGAGCACCCCAAGACAGTCCAACGGGGACCGCAAAGGAGCCCGGGATCACACACTGGCACAAGAGCTCCCTGAAGATGTGAAGCACATCCTGGGCCTAGAATCGCACCGCCCCCCCAAGAGAACAACGGATCCCGGCGCGACTCATACGAAGGGTTGCATTTGCTCCAGGCATAGACCGCAATGCGTCGCAATGACGCGCAGCGCAATGCAAAGCATAGCACCGCCTAGCATATCACGGCGTAACAGCATGGTGCGACCGACGAGGCGAAGCATACCGCATGCGTAACGTACGCAGCGTTGCCGAACTCTGCACGGCGTTAGGTAACACAGCGCAGCACGGTTTAATACGGCGCTGCACAACATTGCATATCCTCGCACATGATACCGTAACACAGCATGCTAATGCATGGCCATCCGTGTAACACTACTCCAAACATCAGAATGCATCGCAGACCGACATAAGACGGTGCAACATGGAACGCTTGCGGGGACAACGACCAAGTCACGTGGAACAGGCGTGAACAAGACACCAGACAGCACCACTTATGCAAAGCAAGTCGACCGACTCATGAAGAAACCCTGGTTAGGGGACGATTGCCCCACTGAGAGCATTTACGATGCCGAGTTCACCTGTCAGGGTGCCTATCGGAACTGCGCGGCGTCGTGCCTTCATCGAGATGCGACATAATAAAATGCAGCGCGAACGTATCAGAGCTCGAATCCTTCCCGCGATGGTTCGGACTCTAGTCCAACCGCCACCCAAAGGACAACGCGAACGCTCCAAAGCAATATTGACTCGCGAAGAGTCTCCAGGTCACCTAAGCTCGCGAATCGCGGCCCACGATGACGATTCGCAGCCCGCGGTCGTCTTCGCACCCTCACGAGGCCACCCTTGAGGAGGGCATCTCTCAGGACGAGGCCGCGACGCGCGATGCACGATTCTCTTCGCGCACCTGGAACGACCTACACATGCTCAGCCGTTTGAACTCCCAAACCGCCTCATCAAACATCGAAGCATCCTAGCGATGAAAACGGATTTTGAGGACAACGCAAAGCTCTAGAACAAGATCGACTCGCGAAGAAACTTCAGCCCATTCCACTCCCGAGGCCAAGTTATGCTTCAGCGCTACGCGCGGCAAGCTGCACGCGTGGCTCAGCCTGCTCTTCGCCAGCCGCCCCTGCGCGACTCGTTTTATCGGTGTGGGGCTGAGGGCCTGGCTCGTGGCACTTCTGGGGGAACCAACAGCTGCATGAGCATAAACTACCGGAGGTCCGCTCCGATTTCTTGGATCTGCGCTGACGCCGTCCCCTGGCGCGCCAGGAGCTGCGCCGGAGCGCGCCGCCGGGGCGTTCCAACGCAGATCCAAACAAATCGCGCGGACTTTCGACAGTTTATGCTTAAAGTCGAGGCTGATTGGAGAGGATACGCAAGAGGACACAAGACCCCTTCCGAGAGCCACCTGGCCATCAAAATGCGGAAGGCATGGCCCAACCACGTGCGCGAATACGGCCCCCCAGTCCGCAGTTGTCGGTTTCGTGTTTGCTTTCGTTCGCAGATGCAAGATCCTCGACTGTATCATTGTTGTTGTTCTTCGAGGTTCGAACGCCATCGGTCGGCAGCAAGCCCGAGGGAGAGAGCGAGAAGGAGAAGGCCTTCTCAGATGGCTCAGAAGTCCCCTGGCCTTCTGAGAAGGTTTCCAAGCCTTGCCCGAAAACGCGGAACACTTGTAAGAAGGCCATTGGGTTTCGGAGAGGCCCTGCCGTTCTTATGAGAAGGCCTGTCCTTTGCAGTCCCCCCCCTCCCCCGGCGTGGAGGTTGTACCTCCGCCCCCTGGAACATGTGTTTGTTCTAGTTGTTAACAATCAATTGACTCCTGTGGGGTTGGGGCCTGCTACAACCACAATGAAACCAATTGGCATACTCTTGAAATCGAATCTGGATGCCTTTGCATCAGAATCGCATCATCCCGATGTGGCTTCTATTGGAGTCAACTTGAGATCCTCTAGAATTGGGCTCTGGTCAATTCCATTGACATCCGATTAGGAATATTCTGGATCTGGTATATGCCCATCGACCATGGACAAATTAACATGACATCATATATCGTACGGTTATGCAACGACTTCGCTACAGTTTGAGTTCCTCTGAATATCTGAGTTTGGGGCCAACGATGTTTTGCTGCGGAACGGGCGCTGCTGAGCTACGCACAGGGGCGCTCCAATGAATGGCACCACAGGCAACCGCAAGTACGCAGCAGCCCCTGAACAGCGAGCTCGAGCAGTTAAGTCATGGGATCACAACACGAATTAGGAACAAAAGGAGCAAAGGGGACAAAAGGGGACAAAGAGGGGACAAAGGGGACAAAAGGGACAAAGGGGACAAAGGGGACAAAGGGGGACAAAGAGGAGACAAAAGGGGTAAAGGGGACAGAAAGGGACAAACAGAGGACAAAAGGGGCAAAGGGGTCAGAGGGGACAAAGGGGACAAAGGGGACAAAAGGGGAACAAAGAGGATAAAGAAGGCAAAGAGGACAAAGGGGACAAGAGGAGACAAAGCGGAACAAAAAGGAGACAAAAGGAGCAAAGGGGGCAAAAGGGGACAAAGAGGGGACAAAGGGGACAAAAGGGACAAAGGGGACAAAGGGGACAAAGGGGGACAAAGAGGAGACAAAAGGGGTAAAGGGGACAAAAGAGGACAAAGAGAGGACAAAAGGGACAAAGGGGTCAGAGGGGATAAAGGGGACAAAGGGATGGGGACAAAAAGGAGACAAAGCGGGGACAAAGGGGACAACAGGAGCAAAGGAGACAAAAGGGGACAAAAAGGGACAACGGGGACAAAGGGGACACAAGGGGACACAAAGGGACAAAGAGGGGACGAAGAGGGGACAAAAGGAACACCGTCGAGGCAACAAATGTCTTACTTCTTGCGGCGCCGGAGAGAGCGCTCGGAGAGCACCCGAAGGCACCCGAAAGGCACCCCGAAGGCACCCGAAGGCTTCATTTTGATCCGCCCAAACCAGCCCAAAAAATACCCCCCCCCCCCAAAAAAAAAAAACTTTTACGGCCTCAATAAGCTCTCGTGGGCGGCGGTGTGCGCATGTACTCCGCCACAAAAGGAATATTGCTCGAATCCGCCACAAAAGGAAGTCTGTTGGAATTCGCCACAATAGGAATCCTTCTGTAATCCGCCACAGAAGGAATCCTTTCGTAATCCGCCACAAAAGGAATGAAGGAATTCTTCTGGAATCCGCCACAAATTGAATTCTTTTCCTATCCGCCACAAAAGAAATTCTTTTGGAATCCGCCACAAAAAGAATCCTTTTGGGATCCGCTACAAAAGGAATTCCTTTAACGCGGACGTGCAAGTTGACCGACGCTTCAGGGGGTACCAGGGAGAAACAAAGGAAAAAACAAAAAAGAAAAACCGCATGGGACTCTCACGTTGTTTGGTGAATTGTGGTTGGGTGCCCCCGCCACAGAAGGAATCCTTCTGTAATCCGCCACAAAAGGAATCCTCTGGAATCCGCCACGAAAGGAATCCTTTTGTAACCCGCCACAGTAGGAATACACGTGTAATCCGCCACAAAAGGAATCAAATCCATTTGTAATCCACCACAATACACGTGTAATCCGCCACAAAAGGAATCAAATCCATTTGTAATCCACCACAAAAGGATTCCATAAGGATTCCATGTGTGGCGGTGATACCCAACCAAAAATTAATCAAAAGACGTGCGAGTCCCATGCGTTTTTTTTTATGTTTCCCTGGTTATGTTTTTTCTTGATTCCCTGGTATACCCTGAGCCGTCGGTCAACTTGTGCGTCAGCCCGAAAGAATTCCTTTTGTGGCAGAGTCCAAAAGGATTCCTTGTGTGGCGGATTACAAGAAGATTTCTTTTGTCGCGGACTCCGAAAGGATTCTTTTTGTGGCGGCTTCCAAAAGGATTCGTTCTGTGGCGGATGACACAAGGATTCCTCCCGCAGCGGGTTCCAAGAGAATTCCTTTATTCCTTTTGTGGCGGATTACGGAAAGGATTCCTTTTGTTGCGGATCACGAAAAGATTCCTTTTGTGGCGGTGGTACCCAACCAAAAAAACATAATACAAAAAAAAAAAAAAAAAAAAAAAAAAAAAACGTGCGAGTCCCGCACGGACCGCCAGATCCAAGAAATCCGCACGGACCGTCGAAAGTTTATGTTTACTTGTTTTTCTGATTCGATTCTTCGAGCCCGATCGATCTGTGAGGGTCCCGGGGCCCGAAAGGGAGCAAAGGCAGCAGATGTGAGGAACCTGCGGCGCCGGGATCTCGGGGTCGGGAGCCCAGCTCGGGCATGTCCTCCTACAGGCGGCGTCTGGAACAAAATACAAAAAAAAAAAAGTCAAGAAATGCTCATACATTGTCAAAACAAAACAAACAAACAAACAAACAAACAAACAAACAAAAACTAACATGTGCCCCCTGACTCATGTGCTCTACTATTCTTGCAGATTCCTCCTGTGGAGGGACATGCCCGACTCAACGCGAGCCAGCTGCCTCCTCGCAATGCCGCCGCAGGCCCCGCCCCTGAGCGCCGCCCTCTCTTCCTCCTCTGCTGCTGCCGGGCGCGCGACCCGTCCACGATGCGCTCGGCCTTCCGGACGCTGCCGAAGCCGCCGCTCCCCAGGAGCCTCGCGGGGGGGGGGGGGGGGCCGAGGTCGAGTATAGGCGCCGAGCGAGGGGGGGAAGTGAGAAGGAGAAGGCCCTCTCAGAAGGCGGCGGGGCTTCTCAGAAGCCCTCGCGCCTTCTGCGGGGATCTTCGTGTCTTCGGGGACGGATTAGAAAACTTCAAGCCCTGGGGACGTCCGAGCCTTTTGAGAAGGCCTTCTCCTTCTCACTCCCCCCCCCCGGGCTCGCCGCCGAGAGTTGGGGACCGACTTCAGAATTGACTTGCCCCAAAAGTAATTGCTCGTCGAATCTGCGAGAAATGCATACATTTTTCTGTTGATTTCTCTGCAGATTCGACGAACGAGCAAATCTTCGGGTAAGTCAACTCTGCAGTCAATCCCCTACTCGAACGGGGGACGTGGAGAAGGGGGGGGGCCGGGGGGCAAAGGGGGCTTGGGCTCAAGCCGTTTTGGCTTCGGAGTCCTGCGCAGAGCAGTGTGCGCTCGAATGGCACGATGCTCATGACACTGTGGACAAGCTTCTCTATAACCGTGTTTCTCGACCGCTGCCCTCAGTGTTCGAGTCTTGCATATGAAGGTGAGCAGGGAAACGAAGCGGGTCTTACGCGAGATGCGAGATGGCGTAGCGACCTTGCGCGGTGGCCCGTGGCTCACGCGGGCCGCTCGCGCGGCACGCCCCACTGGAAACGAGAGCGGCCGAGCGCGACCTTACGCGGGCAGCTTGCGCGCGAGTGCAGAAGAAGAAAGGACTACACAAACACAAACTTCTGGCGCTCCGAGCGGAGTTCTTGGATCCGCACCACCAGGGGCGGGGCTGGAGGCGCCGCCCGGGGAGGGCCCAAACATGATCGACCCACGAACCCGGAAAGGAATATAGAACTGTAACACATGGCAGCGTTTTCAAAGACACCTGATTGGGTGACGGGCAAATGCAATGCTGAGTGTATCGATCTTGATACACCCTGCCGAGGGCTGGGCTGTGCTGCACCGTGCTGAATTGCGATGTGCCATGGCGCGATTGTGCTCTGTAGCGTCGTGGATCGAGTCCTCTTTTGGATTCGAGTCCTCACCAAACTGATCTGGATCTTAAGCTCGAGCTGCCTGAACACATAGCAGCTGCCCCAGAGCCAATGGACAGGGGAACATGCCAGGAGGACGCGCCGCGAAACGTCCAAAGGGATGCGCCAGGCGACGTGCCAGGAGACGTGCCATGGGGTCGCACCGCGGGACGTGCCAAGGGGAAGCGCTACAGAACGTGCCAATAGATGTGCCACATGTGCCAGGGGACGCGCCACGCGACGTGCCAGGGGGACTCGCCAAGGGACGCCCCACGGAACGTGCCAAGAAACGTGCCAAGTTGCAATGCTGAGTGTATCGATCTTGATGTACCGTGCCGAAATCTGTGGTGTGCTGCGCCGTGCTGAATTGCGATGTGCCATGCCGCGATTGTGCTCTAAGCCTCGTGGATCGAATCCTCCTTTGCACCCCCCCCCCCTGCAACCACAGCTCGCACGTCGGGAAGGGGAGAGGGGGAGGGGGACAGGGAGGAGGGGGAGCTGGAGGGGGACGAGGGCAAGGGTGAACTCTGAGAGGGGTGCTGACTGACTCACCACATCACTGCACCGACCGAAATCTGACGAGCGGCACGCACTGAGACGGAGGAGGACGACGACGAGGAGGAGTAAGATGAGGATGATGATGAGGAGGAGGAGAAGGAGGAGGAGGAGGAGGGAGAGGAGGAAGAAGAGGACGACGACGACGACGACGAATGGCAGCATCCTGCTCGAACTCAGGTGCCAGCAGCATCGTCAGGAGGGAAGGAAGAGGAGAAAGATGAAAAAAAAGAGGCGGAGGAGGAGGAGGAGGAGGAGGAGCAGCAGCAGCAGAAGGATGATGACCAGGAGGAGGCCTCAGGGGGTCTTCGCGAGCGTGGGCGGCCTTCCCCTGCTTCCTCCCCCCCCCACTCCAGAAGGGGCGGGCCCGCCCGGGCCCAGGCCGCGCCCGCGGGCGTCGGGCGCGGGGCGCGCCCTGCGGGTGACGCGCTCAGCGGTTGCGGAGAGGAGGTTAGGACGACGACGACGACGACGACGACGACGACGACGACGAGCTCATATTCGCCAAGCCCTTTCCCTCCCGAGCCCGAGGAGCCCGAGGCCGCGCCCCTCGACTTTGTAGCAGTCCTGGATCCGCCCCCTGCGGGCCGGCGCTCTCTCGGGAGAGGGCGGGAGCCGAGCAGCAGCGCCTGGGGTGGGGGGGAGGAAGGAGGATTCTTCGTCCCTCCTCCTCCTCCTCCTCCTCCTCCTCCTCCTCCTCCTCCTCCTCCTGCTCTTGCTCCTCCTCCTCCTCCTCCTCCACCTCCTCCTCCCTCCTCCTCCTCCACCTCCTCCTGCTCCTCCCTCCCCCCTCTCGCCCCATGTCAAGAGCCTGCGGCAGGGCCCTCAATTCGTCGTCGTCGTCTGGGGGCGTATGTGTGTGCGTGTGTATACATAGGTATAAATCATAATACTACTATATAAGTTGTAATATGTACTTATATACTATTATATACACACCTTTACCATATGCCGCCATTTGCCACCATATGGAGCACAAACATCTTTTCCACACGAGGAGTCCTCGCCCGGTGTTCAGAGCAGGGGCCGACCGGCCCCACCTGCCTCAGGGACTGCCACGACGTGCATGCAGGACGAAAGACTGCTCTGTGAGAAAAACCAGCATCATTCTTCGAACATCATCAAAAATAATCGGCATCATCATCATCATCATCATCATCATCATCATCATCATCATCATCATCATCATCAGCAGCAGCAGCAGCATCAGTATCATCATCATCATCATCATCATCATCATCATCATCATCATCATCATCATCATCATCATCAGCATCAGCATCAGCATCAGCATCAGCATCATCATCAGCATCATCATGTTACTCATCATCATCATCATCATCATCATCATCATCATCAGCATCATCATTTTACTCATCATCATCATCATCATCATCAGCATCATCATCATCATCAGCATCATCATCATCAGCATCATCAGTATCATCATCATCATCATCATCATCATCAGCAGCAGCAGCAGCAGCAGCAGCAGCTGCATCATCATCAGCAGCACAGCAGCATCATCATCCTCAGCAGCATCAGCATTATCAGCAGCAGCATCATCATCAGTTTTTCATCGTCATCGTCATCATAATCATCATGTTCATGATCATCATCATCAGCAGCATCATCATCACCATCGTTCTCATCAAACATCATCAACATCATCATCAGCATCATCATCAGAATCATCATCATCGTCATCAGCATCATCATCGTCATTGTCGTCGTCAGCATCATCATTATCAGCATCATCAGCAGCATCGGCAGCATCAGTATCAGCATAATCAGCATCATCAGTATCATCATCATCATCAGCAGCATCAGCATCAGCATCATCAGCATGAGCATCATAATCATCATCAGCATCACCAACATCAGCAACAGCATCATCGTTATCATCAATCATCACCATCTTAATCAGCATCAACATCCTCAGCATCGTCGTCATCATCAGCATCAGCATCATCAGCATCAGCATCATCAGCATCGGCATCGCCTTCGTCAAAAAGCATCATCATAGTCAGCATCATCATTATCACCGTTACCATCAAGCAGCAGCATCAGCATCAACATCAGTATCATCCTCATCATCAACAGCATCAGCATCGTTATCATCATCAGCATCATCATCAGCATCAGCATCAATAGGATAATCGAAAATCGAGTCGATTGATCAAAACCAGTCTGTGTCAGCCAGAACTATTCTCAGAGCACGTCGTGCAAACCACCAACGGCTCTTAGCACACTCCCTGGGGGGGCCCATAGAGGCAAGTCGGCTCAGCACGCTCCGCGACTGCCTGACGCTTTCGGGACACGGCATCATCACAGGTCGACCTGGCTCGGAGAATGCTGCAGAAAGATGGGGTCTGGGGCAGGGCTGGACCTCAACGTTGCTTTTAGTCTTGTGTTCGTGTTGTTGCGCGTTGTGCCTTATACCTGTTTTCCTGCACCTCCCTATCAAAACGAAAAACAAAACACAGCCGAAGTCCAGCAAAACAGCGTCTAGGTCCAGCCCTGGTCTGGGGCTCTGGTCCTGCTTCTTCGCGATGCTGCAGTTTTTGTTCGCAGCCCCTGGACCTCTGGGGCGGCGGGGCGGCCAAGACGGCGGCGGCGACGACGGCCACCAGGCGACGGGCGCGGCGACCACGGGCATCCGGCGGCGTAGTCTTTGTTCACAGCGGGGACCTGTTGAAGTCCCGACATGGAAACAGGGCAGTTTTTAATACATCGGATTTTTTTGATATAGGATCTTTTAATACATGATTAAGTTATGGATAAATATATGCATGAACTCATCGTTGTTTTGAATGCTAAATCCCTGCATTTTTCATACATGATCCGCACGCGGACCACGCCCAAAACCGACAGCGGCAGTCGTGGGGCAGGCGGCCCTCTGCCTTCAGTGAACAGCGCCCGCAGCGGCGCGGACAGCGAGTCCTGTTCAAAATGAGCCCTGCGAGGCGGGGATTTGTCCATATCCACCGCCTGGGAATCAACGTCCTGGCGCACTAGCGAGCGGTGGATATGGACATACTTTGACCCCCGGGGGCCCGAATATTCACATATCCACCGCCTGTGGAGGCCCAAGAAGATCGATCCCCCAGGCGGTGGTTACGGACAAATTCCCGCCTCGGAAGCAGGAACTGCTGTTTGGCATCGCGCCCCGTCTTTCAGTACCCGCTTCGATCCTGCGGAGGCAGGTCGGGCATGTCATTCTACAGGCGGATTCTGAGAGGAAAATTAAAGATGGTCCAACAATACTCCAACATTGTCGAGAATAATCGGGAATCATCGCCACCAGGCAATTTCTGACCATCTTCGAATTTCCCTTATGTAGAGGGGCACGCCCGACTTACAGTGGAGGCCAGGCCACGAGAAACCTTCAACAAGAGGCCAGGCCACGAGCAACCTTCAACAAGAAACCCAACCCTGAGACTCCAGGACGTCCGTTGATTTGGGGTGTGGGAGCGGTACGCTTTCCATAGAGAAACCGTTGAAACCCAAGAAACCCCAGGCACCCTGGAGGCAAGCCGGGTGTTTCTTGGCATGGGTCTCCACTGTAAGCCCAGGCTGAGAACGGCTGCGGAAACAACAAAACAACAACAACAACAACAACAACAACAACAACAACAACAACAACAACAACAACAACAACCACAACAACAACCACAACAACAACAACAACAACAACAACAACAACAACCATTTTAAGGCTGTACGCTCTTACTTGCCCGCGAGTCATTCAACACGTATACCCTACACCCTCGAAACCCGCCCTCTTCGTCTTCGATCACACCCCTTTCGGGGGGATTATTTCTCTTTGCTGGGGCCGGCGGGCTTAGACGTACGGGCAAACCGGAACGGGCGGACAATCCTTCGGGGGCGTACATCTCTCTGCCCGCCATTGGAATTGGCGCGGGCCCTGCAAGAGGAGGAGGGGAAGAACGAGGGAGAGTGGGAGGAAGGGGAGGGGGAAGGACGAAGGAAGAGGGAAGATACCACGTTGTGAAGGCGTCCTTGGCGCGTGCGTGGTTCCTGAGCGCCGAAACGCAATTCCAGAATAATTTGTGAGGACGTCGCACGCGAGAGCGCAGTCCTGAGTACATTGTGAGGAAATCTCGGGCGGGAGCGGGGGCCCTGACTAAATTGCGAGGAAGTCTCAAGCGGGAGCGCCGTTCCTGAGCAAATTGCACGGAAGTCTCAGGCGGGAGCGGGGGTCCTCACTAAATTGCGAGGAAGTCTCAGGCGGGAGCGCCGTTCCTGAGTCAATTGCGCGGAAATGTCAGGCAGGAGCGGGGGTCCTGAGTAAAATTCGAAGAAGTCTCAGGCGGGAGCGCCGTTCCCACGTAAATTGCACGGAAGTCTCAGGCGGGAGCGGGGGTCTTGATTACATTGCGAGGAAGTCTCAAATGGGAGCGCCTTTCCTGAGTAAATTGCGCGGAAGTCTCAGGCGGGAGCAGGGGTCCTGAGTAAAAATCGAGGAAGTCTCAGGCGGGAGCCGTTGTTGTTGTAGCCCGGGGGGCAGGGGCACAGTTTGAGCAGGAAGACTTTCCTTTAGAAAAAAAAAAGTGCGAGCCCCGGGGGTGGCACTTCCATCGAAAAAAATCAATGTGCACCGGTGGGGGGGTCAACAATAATTATTCTTCAAGAATGAAAGTTCAACAACAACAACAACAACAACAACAACAACAACAACAATCATTTAAGACTGGGGACACTCCGTTCTCACCAGTGCCAGGGTTTTCATAGGAGGCGGGCAATACCCCCACTTTGTGGGGGGGCCGGTTCAAGCTCTACCAAATTTCCAAACGACTCTTCGCCACCACCCACACCCAGCTTCCCGCCCTATGACGTTCGGACACTTCACTTCGTGGCATGCGGACGACCGTGGCTACTATTCAGGGCCCCGCGGCCGACGACGACGGCGTGCGCGCGCGAAGAAAAAACGAATGTGTCCCGCATGGTATTATTTGACAGGGATGATGGCCCTGGCAGGTGCGCAACCGTTGTCGCAGAAGTTCGAAAAAGTTGCTCGCAAAAGCCCGTTTGACAGAAATGTTTAAAAAGTGTTGGGTTTCCTACGAATCCGCAAGAGCGCGCGGGATGAGATTTTGACATTTTTTTGTTGAAAAACCATTGGTTTTTTGATGTTTTTATGTTAAAATCGCTCCGAACACTAAGCTTTTGGAAGGATTTCGTCTTGCGCGCGCGAATGTCCACTTTACCTTATTTTTTGCAAGGGATTCTTGAAATTTGATTATATTAGAACAAGAAATGTCATTTTATAGTGTTTTTTGCAAGGGAAAACGGATTACAACAAAACAACCGGATCTGGATCACATCGTTTTACCTGAGGCTTCCTCACGAAAATGATGAAAATGTAGCTGCGGCCTAGGCGGCGCAGGGGGGGCGTGCACCAGGGGGCCCAACAATAATTATTCTTTAGAATAAATAATGTTCAACAACAACAACGACGACAACGACAACGACAACGACAACGACAACAACAATAATAATAATAACAACAACAGCAACAACAACAAGAACACTAACAACAATAACAGCAACAAACATAACAACAACAACATCAACAACAACCACAACAACAACAGCAACAACAACAACAACAACCACAACAACAACAACAACAACAACAACAACCACAACAACAACAACCATCAGTTTAAGACTGTTCGTTCTTACTTGCGCCATGCAACGTGTATACCCACGCCCTCGATACCCGCCCCCTTCGTCTTCGAGCGTACCCCCTTCTGGGGGGATTCTTTCTTTTTGCGGGGGCGGGCGGGCTTAGACAAGCGGGCGTGAACGGGCAGGGAATTATTCGGAGGATGGGGCACGCATCTCTTTGCCCACCATTGAAATTCGCGCGGGCCCTGCAAGAAGAGGAAGGGGGAGAACGAGGGAGAGTGGGGGGAAGGGAGGGGGAGGGACGAGGCTAAAGGGGAACACGCCAGGAGAGAGGGGGCGAGGAGGGGGGGGGGGACTATTGGAGATAGAGAGACAGAGGGGGGAGGAAGGAGGAGGCTGGAAAGGGGAGGGCGAAGAGAGGAGGGAGGAGGGTTATGGGAGGAGGGTGAGGGGAGAGAGGAAGAGGGAGGAGGAGGGTGGATATGAGGGAGAGGGAAGGAGGAGGGAGGTTGGATGGGGAGGAAGGGGCAGGAGGGTAAGAGTGTGAACGTTCGAGGAAGTCCTAGGCGAGGGCGTAATCCTCAAGGAAGAGTTGGGCGGGAGCGGGGGTCCCGAGTACATTGTCGGACGTCTCAGGCGGGAGCGCCGGTCGGGCGGGCGGACCCTGGCGGGCGGGTCGGGCGGGCGGGACATTCAAACGGGATGTTTGCGTTAATTGCGAGGAAGTATTAAGCGAGAGCGCGATTCCTAAGTAAATTGCGAGGGCGTCCTTGGCGCGAGCGTGGTTCCTGAGCGTCGAGAAACCGACGCTGCAATAAATTGCGAGGAAGTCCTAGGCGAGAGCGCCATTCCTGAGTAAATTATGAGGAAGTCTCGGGCGGGAGCGGGGGTCCTGATTAAGGAAGTCTCAAGCGGGAGCGCCGCTTCTGAATAAAATGTGAGAAAGTCTAAAGCGGGAGCGCCCTTCCGGAGTAAATTGTGAGGAAGTCTCAGGCGGGAGCAGGGGTCCTGAGTAAATTGTGAGGAAGTCTCAAGCGGGAGCCGTTGTTGTTGTAGTCCGGGGCCCAACAACGCAATCTGATCCGCAATGCTTTCCCTGTCACAAAACAGGGTGCGAGCCCCGGAGGAAGCACTTCAATTGAAAAAAACAATGGGCACCGGACAGGGGGGATCAACAATAATGATTCTTCAGAAATGAGAGTTCAACAACAACAACAACAACAACAACAACAACAACAACAACAACAACAACAATCATTTAAGACTGGGGACACTCCGTTCTCACCAGTGCCAGGGTTTTCATAGGAGGCGGGCAATACCCCCACTTTGTGGGGGGGCCGGTTCAAGCTCTACCAAATTTCCATACGACTCTTCGCCACCACCCACACCCAGCTTCCCGCCCTATGACGTTCGGACACTTCACTTCGTGGCATGCGGACGACCGTGGCTACTATTCAGGGCCCCGCGGCCGACGACGACGGCGTGCGCGCGCGAAGAAAAAACGAATGTGTCCAATATGGTATTATTTGACAGGGATGATGGCCCTGGCATGCGCGCAACCGTTGTTGCAGAAGTTCGAAGCACGTGAAAAAGTTGCTCGCAAGAGCCCGTTTGACAGAAATGTTGAAAAAATAGTGGGTTTCCTCAGAAATCCGCAAGAGCGCGCAAGATGATTTTTGAAACTTTTTTTTGAAAAACCATTGGGTTTTTCATGTTTTTATGTTAAAATCGCTACGAAAACTAAGGTTTTGGAAGGATTTCATCTTGCGCGCGCGAGTGTGCACTTCGTGTTATTTTTTGCAAAAAGGATTCTTGAAGTTTGGTTATGTTAGAACAAGACATGTCATTTTATAGTGTTTTTTGACAGGGAAAGCGGGCGTCAACAAAACAACCGGATCTGGATGACATCGTTTTACCTGAGACTTCCTCACGAAAATTATGAAAATGTGGCTGCGGCCTAGGCGCGGGGGGGGGGGCGTGCACCAGGGGGCCCAACAATAATTATTCTTTAGAATTAATAATGTTCAACAACAACAATACTCCCGTCGCTCTGCGTCTCCTCACGACGCGAGAGGGGCCCTGGGACACCCAGAGCTCGGATGCCCGGCTCTGCTCCTGGCGGAGGTCCCACAGAAGTCTCGGCCCCTTCCTCGGGGACGGGTTCTTCAACGCGAGTCGTGTGCTGGGAGAGAGAGAGAGAGAGAGAGAGAGAGCGAGAGAGAAAAAAAAAAAAAAAAAAAGAGGAGGAGGCGGAGGGGAGGAGGCGGAGGAGGAGGAAGAGGAGGGGGGAGGGAGGGGGAGGGGGAGGAGGAGGAGGAGAAAGGGGAATTGGCGGGAGCCTCTCCTCGATGGCCCCGAGGGCCCCACGAGGGCACCCCGAGGCCGAAGACGGCCCGAGGCCCTCGGGGGGAGCGGCGGCGGCGACCCGCGGCGGCGGCGACCGGGCCCCGCGGCGGCGACCGGCCTGTTGGTCACCACGAAGCGGCGCGCCGCGCCCGCGGTCGGCGTGCCTCCGGGGAGCCCAGAAGGTACTCCAGATGTCGTAAGGGAGGGGGTCTGGACCCTCCAAGACAAGCCATTTCAGACCCCCCCCCGTGGGAGAGCCCTCCCAAAAACATCGTCCCCAGACCCCCCAGGGCCTCCAAGAGATAGCCTGGAAGAGACCCCACCCCCGAAACGAGACCCCCTCCCTTTGATTACGAGATCTGGAGTACCGATACCGCTGCTCTCGGGTCGGGCGAAAGGGGGGGATAGCAAAGGGGGGGGGGTGAGAATCAGCTCACGGAGCCGATTTCCCCGGCGCCTCCCGGCGCCGGAGGCGGCCATGTTCGATATCGAGGAGTGGGCCCCTCGGTGAGGCCGAAACCAGCTGCGTGCAGCAAATTTTTCGTGACCCCCCTTTCCCAATCCCCCCCTTTCGTCCGGCCCGATACTCCCCAGACCTCTCCCGGGGTGCGCTCCG